GAAGCTGGGGGTCTACAAGAAGCTGCAAAAACCCCGAACTCCTTCTCCGGATGCATCCAGTTCTTCGGCATCAGTGACGCGCACAGTCGTCAAGGAAACTCCGGGCCCTAGAGAAGAGCCGTTCTCCAAGCAGCCTTGGCCAGCTGCCAGCTCAGGAGTAGATAGCAACACAAAGGTGTGTACGGATTATTGGGATGTACCCTATGACCCAATCAATGAAACCATTTTTGGGTACTTCGAGCAACGCCTGCCCCTCGTGCTCGAGGTCATCTGCAAAGGACGGCACCTCTAAGCACTTGTGGACAGCGGAGCATCACACACCGTCTGCGACAAGGCAGTAATCGACCGACTTCAGGAAGAGTACAAGCCTTCAGGATTCTCTGCAACGATGGTGGACAGCAGCAAGTTACCAGTACACGGCGAAGCAGTGCTACACCTACAAATCGGACCACTGCGCTGGAGACCTGCACTCCCCATCACCAACATCAAAGGGGTTGACCTGAAAAGATTCAACCCCGAGATCAACTGGGTGAACCGCACCGCAAGCATCTACAACAATGGACGGAGAGTACAGCTACCCAACTGGGACGATACAGGAGACATCCCAGTGGAGACACTCGCACGATTCGAGAAGGACGTGAAGCGAACCGACACCGGGTTCCTGGCGATAGCAACAGAGGCGGAGAACGACAGGGAGAAGACCTTGGAACCTCCAGGAAAGATCAAGGAATTATTGAAGGAGTTCCAAGACATTCTGCCGGACGATCTTCCGAACGAGCTACCGCCATACCGAACGCATCAACACGAGATCGTGGAGGAACCGGGTTCGAAGCCAACCTTCCGAGCACCATATCGGCTCAGCCCTACGGAGCTGACCGACATGAAAAACAGATCGAGTATCTCCTAGCCAAATGACTCATCCGACCATCCACTTCGCCGTACGGTGCCCTAGTACTCTTCACACCCAAACCGGACGGAAGCCTGCGCATGTGCATCGACTACCGAGCTCTTAACAAGGGGACCATCAAGAATAAATACCTGATACCGCGAATCGATGACCTGCTTGACCAGCTTCGGGGAGCTACAGTATTTTCCAAACTGCAACTGCGGTCCAGATACTGGCAGATACGGATGGCAGACAACTCTATCCACAAAAATGCTTTCCGAACTCGGTATGGATCGTACGAGAATTTGGTAATGCCGTTTGGACTCACCAACGCACCGGCAACGTTCCAAGCCGAAATGAACCCCATTCTACGACCACTTTTGGACGAGTGCGTGGTGGTATACCTGGATGACATCCTCATCTACTCGCGCGACATGAAGCAGCACGTCGAACACCTGCGACGCATCTTCGAAATTCTTCGACGAGAACGATTCTACGTCAAACTGTCCAAGAGCGAATTCGCCCTTGAGAAGGTCCAGTTCTTAAGACACATGGTGAGCGCTCAAGGAGTTCACGTCGACCCCAAGAAAATCGAAGCCGTACGTACGTGGAAGACACCCGAGAACGTGAAGGAGTTGCAGCAGTTCCTAGGCTTCGCTAACTACTACAACAGGTTCGTGCCACAGTATGCGAAACTCGCAGCACCACTCACGAATCTGCTGAAGAAGAAAACACCCTACAAATGGGAGCAAAAGCACCAGGAAGCCGTGGAGCAACTAAAACAAGCACTCACGTCCGCACCAGTACTCATCTTGCCAAATCCCGAACGCGACTACGTAATAGAAGCTGACGCCAGCGACCAGGCAGCGGGAGCAGTCTTAATGCAAGATCAAGGGAATGGACTGCAACCAATCGCCTACCTAAGTAAGAAACTACACGGGGCAGAACTCAACTTCCCGATACACGACAAGGAGGCCCTGGCTATCGTCATTGTCTTCAAAGCGTGGAGATGTTATCTCGAAGGACAAAGAACAACCGTCTACACCGACCATTGCAGCCTGAAATACTTGAAGACACAACCCAACCTTTCTAGACGGCAAGTCCGGTGGATCGACTTCCTCGAGACACACTTCCACTAGGACATCGTGTACAAGCCCGGCCACAAAAACAAAGCAGACGCTCTCAGCCGACCCGCACACGTCGCCGCTATTCAGATTGAAGGGATGAATCCACTACTCAAGGGACTCTTCACACACGGGTACGCCATCGACCCCAAAATTCCCTTGGCAGAAAAGCGACATCTGCTACAGTGGGACAGTGACATCACGTACCGGAAAGGATCAACGAAAATCTGGGTACCCAATTACCCTCCTTTGCGCAGTTACTACTCGAAGAATACCACGACGTCCTATACGCCGGACACTTCGGTAGCAACAAGACGCTGACCGGTATTGCAAAACACTGCTAGTGTCCCCACTTAGCAGAAGATGTCAAGAAATTCGTCACCTCGTGTGATACATATCAGCGGATGAAGAGCAGCAAGCAGAAAAAGGCGGGACTACTGCAGCCTCTTCCTATCACAAAACAACCATGGCAAGTGGTTAGCCTGGACTTCATCACCGGGTTACCACCTACCACCAGCGGTTATGACGCCATCCTTGTCGTCATCTTCAAGTTCTCCAAAATGGGACACTTTATCCCGACACACACGACAGCACGCACCGAAGAAACAGCACAACTCTTCGTTCGATACATCATCTCACAGCATGGCATTCCGACCACACTCATCTCCGACCGAGACCCCAAGTTCACCAGCAAGTTCTGGAAGGAACTTATGTCTCTCCTCGGGATCAAACTCGTCGTGCCATCCGCTTACCATCCGCAGACAGACGGACAGACCGAGCGCCTCAACCAGATTGTTGAGCAACTCCTCCAAGCAGCTTGCAAGGATGACATTTCCAAATGGGACTTGCACTTGCCCGCTCTAGAGTTTGCTTACAACAAGGCTACACATGCCGCTACTAGACAGACGCCGTTCTTCCTCTGCTACGGACGCCACCCACTCACACCACAAAAACCGACAGCATCAGCTACAGTCCAACCTGCACATGATTTCATCACAACCATGCATCAGCTTTGGGATCGGACCCACAAGCGCCTCCTCGACATTCAGCAGCAACAGAAGCGCCAGGCCGATCGCCATCGCAACGACCACACAATTACCGTGGGAGACCAGGTGCTCCTTGACACCCGCAACCTTGACATCAGCCATCTCCCATCTAAACTTCGACCTCGCTTCTGCGGGCCTTTTCTCGTTGAAGCACAGGTCACTCCTGTTACCTTCCGCTTACGCCTGCCAGCTACCTGGAAGATTCACAACGCCTTCCATGTCCAACTTGTGAAGCCCTATCAGGATCCGAACATGATCTTCGTCGGACGCCAGCCGCTGCTGCCACCGCCTGTCCTCGTCCAGAATGAACCCGAGTACGAGGTCGAGTTCGTGCTTGCACATCGCCGTCGTCGGAATGGCACCGTGGAGCTTCTCATCCGTTGGAAGGGTTATGATCCTTCTGAGGACAGCTGGGTACCTGAGACCGACATGGGTAACGCCCGTCGTCCTCTGCATAACTACCTTGTCAAGCAGGGTGTTACTTCTACCACCCAGCTTTGAGGGGGGGAAGTGTGAGAGTACGACCCCGTTACACCACTTGTCCCTCTTCTTATTTCCTTCCTCTTTCATTTCTCTTTTTATCCCATCTCATTCGGTTTCCTATTCTCCATTTTCCATTAACATTTGGTTTATCCTGCTAATATAATTATATCACCGACCAGGCTTGGGATATACTGGTGCGCTATATCTTGCGTAATCCTGCCGTAATCCCTCAAAGCCAATAGCCTCGCGTGGCTATACGCAGGGTGATTCTATCTTCTAGAAGGGTCTATTCCCTTAGGATAAGATAAACATGGTTACCTGATGTATTATGGAAGTATAAAAGCGCCTTGTACTGATCGATAGTGCAATCTTTCCTCGGGTCATTCGATCCTGTGACAAGCGAGCACGGGCCCATCGAGATAGGGGCCAGCGAGCTAGGGGCTGGCGAGCTAGGGGCCGGCGTGCTTGGGGCCGGCGAGCTAGGGGCCGGCGAGCGCGGAGTCGGCGAGCGAGGGGCCAGCGAGCAAGGGGTCGGCTAGCGAGGGGTCGGCGAGCTAGGGGCTGGCGAGCTAGGGGCTGGCGAGCGCGGGGTCGACGAGCGCGGGACTGGCGAGCGCGGGGCTGGCGAGAGAAGGGTTGGCGAGCGCGGGGCCGGCGAGCGCAGGGCTGGCGAGCGCGGGGCCGGCAAGCGAGGGGCCGGCGAGCGCGGGTCCAGTGAGCGTGGGGCCAGCGAGCGCAGGGCCAACGGGCGCGAGGCTGGCGAGGTAGGGGCCGGCGAGTGCAGGTCCGACGAGCGCGGGGCTGGCGAGCTAGGGGCCGGCGAGCGCGGGGCTAGCGGGCGAGGGGCCGGCGACAACCGAGAGCGAGCGCTTGTCCGGCGAGTGCAGAAAAGCCTTGCCTTTTCTCTTGTTAGGCACCGTTCCATTGGGATGTATACACCCGTTAGTTACCAAGGTAGGTGTTGGCCCGGTGAAGACCTGTATAACCAGGATTCGTTGCATGCGGTGCGAGTGAGCAGCCTCGGTTGCAACAACTCATGATTGATTATTGATGAGATGGTTCCTTTATTTTTTCGACCTTCATTGTGGAGTATTGTCGTTTTCATGCAGAAGTTCCTTAGCGCGTCCTTTGGCAGAGGCACCGAAATCGGCACCGTTGCTTTTAGGGGCACCAGACAGCTCACAGGCCACGACACCAGCCACCTCGGTTTGGCATTCCTCCGAACGTAACTTCTGCTTCTGGGCAACGGCCTGACTGGCGGGAAATATTCCAACCATGATGACGTGGGCTGACGCAGCATCCAGAGCCGCTACCCTTACCAGACCATCGTACTGTAGACCACTAAACCGCGTAGTTTGATTTTTATACCACACTGCATCGGACAAACCTAACAGCACTCCTCTCATCTTCCCCCTCATCTCAAACAAATCCCCGAACCGGCAATTCGCGCCTTTCATTCTGGCAGCTTTACCATTTCTGGCCATTCCCAAGCACTGAAACAAGAGTTCACTAGCACTAAAACTTCCTGGTCTGCTTGCTGGCTCCTTGTTCTCAGCTCCTAGTCATCTCTGCCAGATATCTTATTATCTCTCGAAGTCCTGTCGTTCAGTTCCCGCAAAATGAGGAGCTTAGTTGCTACTCTTTTGATAGTCTCCGCACTTTGCGCCGTAGCTTCCGCTTACGATTGTATCACGCCGTGTCAACAGCCCGCCAACACGTCGTACGTCGTTCCGACCTGCACCCAAGCATGCACCGTATGTCACTATCGACCATGATGATCGAAATTGCCATGAACGCGTTTTCTCGCTCGATTTTTTCCGGTTCTTGATTGATCTCTACCGACGCTGTTTTTTTAGGTGACTTTTGAGTCGACTCAAAAGTCACCGCGTTTTCTCGCTTGATTTCCTCCGGTTCTTGATTGATCTCTACCGACGCTGTTTTTGTAGGTGACTTTTGAGTAGACTCAAAAGTCACCGCGTTTTCTCGCTTGATTTCCTCCGGTTCTTGATTGATCTCTACCGACACTATTTTTCGAGGTGACTTTTGAGTCGACTCAAAAGTCACCTCGTTTTCTCGCTTTATTTCTTCCGGTTCTTGATTGATCTCTACCGACGCTTTTTCCTTCATTTTTAATTGAGAGCGCGACTCGCTTGGCTAAGGAGCTAGCTTGTAACCTACCCCAAGAAGTCGTTTACTGTCTCTGCATTGTTATCTCGAAACGAGGTTAGGTAGAAGAGCAACGCGGTTTGTCTTCGTCGGGAAAGTCTCAAAATACCTACTTCCGTCTCCCGTCTCTGTGCTCACTTCTTTTCGGTTTCTCGTTTCCCACACTCCACCTTTGGTACCGCATTGGACCGCGCTGTGTGCGAAACTCAATCACTGCAGAACTGCGTGGCGCTAACCTACAGCGGCTGCAGTACTTACTTCCAACCCATCTGGGCTGCTCTGACCAACACTGCTACCTGTAAAAACCCTCTGAGAAATCTCAGAGCCAATAGGCTCTCTCCCCCCCACCCCCTCCCCTCTACCCCCCCCCCCAACGCCCCTCTCTCATTCGTGCTTGCGGATTGATTTGAGAAACTGCACGAAAGTGTACTGTTCCTGGTGGTGAAATTACGAAATCATATACAATGGGTAATTTGCTATGACTGTTCGCGCACGTGCTTTCACTATATAATTGCTATGACTGTTCTCGCACATGCTTTCACTATTGTCCGAGTCCCTTGGTTACCCCAAAAGTACTTACCCCGTCCACATTATTTGCCTTCACAACCGCCAGCTCAAGTGTACCAGGGAGCTACGTGCGGACAGTCGTGCAGCGGGAGTCTCGAGTGGTGGGCATGGCTGCTCATCAGCTTCGCCATCCTCTTCGTCTGCATTGGCATTGGCCTCTGCCTCTACTCGTGTCTGGATAAGAGGGGTTGAGTGTGGGGTGGAAGATGCACAGGGGAAAGCAGAGCCGCATGGTCGTTGAAACGTGTCCAAAGGTGGTCGTAGATGAAACGGGTCTGATGTTGCCGATTGCTGACACTCTGCTTCACCGGAGCTAGTGTAGAACTAATGTGCCTTGATGGAACTGCGAATATACTGCAACGTGGGATTGAAACCCTAACTATGTGCCCAAAATTTCTCTTCTGACCGTAGTATCTTGACATCGTGTTGGCTCTTCTTGATAATCATACTCAGTACACCTGGAGCACACCTAAGGCCCAGCTCAATATGTGGCCCAATCAGAAACCACCGCCCATTAGCGTTGGCACACGGGCAACAGCCCACTCAACGTGGGCCGTGAACAGAGCCAGCTGTGCAGCATCATCATGACAGCGGTGACGAACATGCGGCACAAGACGAAAGATGTGCGCCGCAACCTTTTTCGCCACAAACTTCCAGCCGCGCTCGGAATAGCGTGTCAAACATATGCATAACATATATTTATATAGACTGTATAGGGTCACCTATTAGAGGGTACAACACTCTTAGGTATATACCCCTGTTGTACCTCTCTATTCAAAACACTTGTTCATTTTCTAAGTTCCTAACATGGTATCATCCGTAGGTTCCCATCCCTCTCACCTACCGCTTCCGCCCGTTCACCTAGGCCCCGTAGCGCCCCTCCTGGGCCTCGTTAGAGCCTACTAGCCTGCCGCGCCCCTCCTGGGCCTTCTCGCCCCAGACGCGCCTCCCTGGCCCCAGCTGCGCCTGCCTGGCCCCATCGCGACTCCCTGGCCCCAGCCGCGCTCCCTGGCCCCGTCGCGCCTCTCTGGCCCCAGCCGCGCCTGCCTGGCCCCAGCCGCGCTCCCTGGCCCCGTCGCGCCTACCTGGCCCTAGCCGCGCCTGCCTGGCCCCGTCGCGCCTGTCTGGCCCTGCCGCGCTCCCTGGCCCCGTCGCGCCTGTCTGGCCCCAGCCGCGCTCCCTGGCCCCGTCGCGCCACTCTGGCCCCAGCCGCGCTCCCTGGCCCCGTCGCGCCACTCTGGCCCCAGCCGCGTCTGCCTGGCCCCCAGCCGCGCTCCCTGGCCCCGTCGCGCCTCTCTGGCCCCAGCCGCGCCTGCCTGGCCCAAGCCGCGCTCCCTGGCCCCGTCGCGCCTACCTGGCCCCAGCCGCGCTTGCCTGGCCCCGTCGCGCCTGTCTGGCTTTGCCGCGCTCCATGGCCCCGCCGCGCCTCTCTGGCCCCGTCGCGCTGCTCTGGCCCCAGCCGCACCTGCTCTGGCTCCAGCCGTGCTTCCTGGTCCCGCCGCGCACCTGCCTGGCCCCGCGCCTCCTGGACCTGTCGCTCCTGCCTGGCCCCGCCCCGCCTGCCTGGCCCCGCCAGCACCTGCCTGGCCCCACCGCACCTGCCGTGCCCCCCCCCCCTCGGGCTCTGTCTCCTCGACTCGCCCGTGCTGAGGCGCTTCGTGGCCGCCGTGCTGACCGGGGACTGTCGCTGTGGTGCTGCATCGCTGTGTTCCTGTGGAGCGGTGCCGCTGACCCTGCGCGATGGCGGACTTCGTGCTCCGACTGGACGCCGAGGGCCATGCGGTTGACTTCGCCGCCTGGCTCTCCGACCTCCGCCGCCAGCTTACAGGTCAGCGTCAGGATGGCCATTCTTTGGTAGTCCATGTTGACGGCTTGCTCTCCCGCCCCCCCGCACCTGCTCCCCTCCCTGTTGATCCCTCCTCTGCTGATCGTGAGACTTTCTCTGCTGCTGCGCTTGCCTGTGCGGTCTGGGACTCCCGAGATGCCGTAGCTCAGGTTGCCATTAGCCACGCCCTCCCTGTCTCTGAGCGCTCGCGTTTTGCTGCTATTGAGACGGCTAAAGCCTATTTAGACGTTGTTATGGCCCGCTATTCCACACCCGCCTCTGCTTCTGCTGGTCGTCTGCTCTTCCCTATGCTTTTCCCAGACCTTGCAGCCTTCCCTACTGTCGCAGACTTTGCCACTCACCTGCGTGCCCTAGAGACCCGCTATCGCACTGCTAGCACTGCTGCCCAGCTCACTGCGCTCCCCCCCCCTTTCTGCATGACGCTCTACTTTATCGCCATGCGCCTGCCAGACCGCCTCGCTAGTGCTCGCGATCACTTCCTTAGTCCCACCCGGCTGACCTCACTCTCACCGCCTTTGTCGACACCCTCACCGAGATCGAGACTCGCCAGCGCACTATCCCTCAGTCGAGCGGTGCGCCGGCAGTCTCTATCTTTCACGGCTGTGCCCCCTCCGAGTGCACGTTCACTGACGTTTCGGCTGCGGTCGCCACGGCCACCCCCCTCACTGAGACGGCTGCTGTGGTCCAGCCGCAGTGGCCGTGGTCGCCAGAGTGGTCGGGGTGGTTGCGCCGGTAGTGGTGTTGGTGGTCGTGAGAGTAGTCCGTCTGGGGGGCCTAGCCTCGGGGGTCAGGAGCAGCAGCCCCAGCCGCAGCAGGAACAGCCCGCGCCGCAGCCGCCGTCTCAGCAGCAGCCGCAGTCCCCGCCGCAGCTCCCGCCGCAGTGGGCTCGTCTCCCGTCTGTTTGGCCCGGCACCTCAGGAGGTGGTGGCAGTAGTGGCGGCCCGCGTGGCTTGGCGTCTACCAGTGGCTCCGGTGCTGTGACCTGTCAGTACCAGCTTCAGACCGGGCCCCTTCGCGGCACTCTGTGTCGCCACCCGCACCCGACTGCCCGCTGTTTCCGCCGCCTCGACGATCTCTTTCGTCGTCGCTTTGGCCCGGCCCCGGACCTCCCTGACTGGCACCGCCTGCTCCGCCAGGGCGTGCCGATCTTTGAGTTAGGTATGGATAAGATAGGTGCTGCTTTGCATGCTTTGTATTCTGACGCTGCTAGTGTTGCTGGATCTTATTACCCTGTGTTCTCTAGTTTAGGTGTTGCACCGCTATGTAGCCTAGCCTCCCCTGCTGCGTCAGGCGTAGGACTGCCTAGTTTGTCTAGCCTCATCTCTGCACCGGCTCCGTTCCCTGTCCCCGCCACTGCGGCGCTGTCCTTCACTCTCGACTCCGGTGCTTCTGCCTGCTTCTTCCGCGACCGTTCTGTGCTCACGCCGCTTGCTACGCCTGCTGTCGTCTCTCTCGCTGACCCCTCTGCTGGTCCTGTCGTCGCTCGCAGTTCTACGTCCCTTTTCTGTCCTGCAGTTCCCTCGGGCTCCCTTACAGGTCTCCACATTCCCTCATTCTTGAGGAACCTGGTTGGTGTTGGCTTTCTTCAGGACCACAGCGTCACCACCACGTTCCCCGGGCACGAGGAGTTCGCTGTCTGTTCTGAGGCTGTCTCAGGTTCTCCCCTTGCGACGTTCCCCCGGGACCCAGTGTTCGGTCTGTTTACCCTAGACACCGCTTCCCCTCCGGTTGGTCCGTCCTCCCAAGTTGCTGCAGCTTGCTCGTGTCGTTCCCTCACTCACCCGTCCCTCCTCTGGCACCACCGCTTAGGTCACCGTGCCCTCCCTCGTCTGCGTCACATGTCCCACCACGGTCTTGTCTTAGGTCTCCCTGCGTCGCTCCCCGCCCTTCCTCCCTCGCTTGCGCCACCGTGCACGCCTTGCGTCGAGGGCCGGCTCCGCCGTTCTCCTCACTCCTCCTCGCTGCGCCCTGCTACTGCCCCCCTTCAGACCCTGCACCTGGACGTTTGGGGCCCTGCCCTCGTCCCCGGACCACGTGGTGAGCGCTACTTCCTTATGCTCGTTGACGACTACACGCGCTACACCACGGTGTTTCCCCTGGAGCGGAAGGCCGACGTGCCCGACGTTCTTCTCCCGTGGGTTGTGGCAGCGCGTCTCCACCGCGGTCTCCCCGTGTTGTGTCTCCACTCTTACCGTGGCGGCGAGTTCGCCTCTGGTCGGCTTGGACAGTTCTGTCGTGCAGAGGGCATCACCCAGTCGTACACCTTGTTGGACTCGCCCCAGCAGAATGGGGTTGCTGAGCGCCGCATCGGCTTGGTCATGGAGGTCGCCCATACCTCCATGATCCATGCCGATGCCCCCCATTTTCTGTGGCCGTTCGCTGTTCGCTACGCCGCTCACCAGCTTAACGTGTGGCCACGCTCCCAGCGGCCGCAGGTTTTGCCGACCCTCCTTTGGACCGGGTCCCCCGGTGACGCGTCTGCGTTCCACGTCTGGGGCTGCCTTGCTCACGTTCGTGCCTCTGGCACGGACAAGCTCACTGCCCGCACTGTCCCCTGTGTCTTCCTCGGTTTTCCCCTGGACTCGTCTGACTGGCTTTTCTACCACCCGCCGTCTCACTGCTTCCTCCACTCTCGTGACGTCACCTTTGATGAGTCTGTCTCCTTCTACCGCCGCTTCCCTCACCGAGGTCTCCCGGTTGCCCCGCCCCTGTTCCTCGCTCCCTCTCCCCCGGTAGCCCCTGCTCCTCTCCCGCCGCGTCCTGCCCCGTCTGGTGTTTCTCACGTCACTCCCCTCCCGTCGGTTGTCCCAGTTGAGGAGTCTGCTGACTCTGGTGGTTCCCCCGGTCTGTCCTTGCCGCGTCCCCCTTCCCCGGTACCTCCGCCCCCACTATCGTAGTCGCCGACCCCGCTGCAGCCGTCGCCGCCGCAGTCGTCGCCGCCACTGTCGCGGTCGCTCGTGGCCCCTGGGGGTGCTGGTGTGGAGGCGGGTGTTCGTCCTGCGGCTTTTGAGGGTGCCGCTGGTGTTGGAGAGGGTTCTCGCTCTGGGGGTGCTGGTTCTGGGGGTGCTGCTGTTGAGCGTCCTGCCGACGGTCGTTCTGCCTCTCCTGGTCCGAGCGTTCCTGTCACAGGATCGAATGACTCGAGGATCGATTGCACTATTGATCAGTACAAGGTGCTTTTATACTTCCAGAGTACATCAGGTAACCAGGTTTATCCTATCCAAAGGAATAGACCCTTCTAGAATATAGAATCACCCTGCGTATAGCCACGCGAGGCCATTGGCTTTAAGGGATTACGGCACGATTACGCTGGATAATGTGCCAGTACATCCCAAGCCTGGTCGGTGATATAATTATAATAGCAGGATCAACCAAAGGATAATGGAAGAATGGAGAATAGGAAACCAAATGAGATGAGATAAAAAGAAGAATGAAATAGGAAGGAGATAAGAATAGGACAAGTGGTGTAACGGGGTCGTACTCTCACAGTTCCGGCCCCGCCGTCGTCGCCGCCGCAGCCGCCGTCACCGCCGGTCTCCGCTCTCCGCCTGCTCGACCTTC